CGCCCTCGCCTCTTGTCTCCTTACCTTCTCTGTTTCTATCATGTTCGCGATGCAAACCCTCCATCCAAACTTCCTTACTTAGTTTGATAGCTTCTCGATATCAACCCCCAAGCACTCTTGGCTGTCTCCCTTGGTCAATTTCACCCGGAAGTGTTCATGTTCTCTGCCTACTTGTCCCCTTGCTAGGCAGTGCAGTCCCTCCCTGTCACAACAGTTCTTGAACTCTATCCTCGTCATGTCCCTTGGAATCCCAAACAGCAGCAGCTGCAACTTGTCTCCCTTCCACAGTTTCTGCTTCCATCATCCCGGCTTCTTCACCATCCTCATGATCTCTACGGCAACCGGACCGTGGCCACTTGTTATTCGTGCTTTTTCAGGAAGGTATACGGAATACTCGGCCTTCCCAATCCGAGTGTCCGGCGAGGGTTGTGGTTCCTTTCAGTGCTTTTGCCGGCTCACCGACGCTAAGTAGCGCCTCCAACATAGGCTCGTAGTCTAGATCCAAGTTCACACCTCCTGCCACAAGTACCCCAGTCTTGTGCAGGCGCTCTGCTTAGTAAACACCCAGACGTGTGTGTGTGTGTGGGGGGGTCAACAAACCGTACCACAGGACGGGTGCGAGTTCAGGTATGTCGCTTGTCCGCCGCGAGGTTCTCGTGCTTGGCACGACCAGGACTTGACTGCTTCGCCTCAGGAAAACGCACCTATTAATCAGGCCGCACGCCGGCCTCACCTCCCGCCGACTTTTGAGCTAAAACTCCATGATTGGTTGTCGTGATCTTGCATTTTGATTGTCCTACCAGCAGCCCCTTGATCATCTTTCTCTCTCGCCACGCAAATCCCAGACGAGTGATTCAGAGCTGTTGTGTTGACACGTGCCACTGCTGTACTCCTGCACGGGGTGTCGCACACCCAGTCTTTCGACGGCACGTCGTCGCGGCAAGCTATCGTTGGTTTGTTGTCGTTGGCGTTTTGGACGTCACATCCAAACAAACGCTTTCCAGCCTCTAGACTCTAGACTACCCCGGCGATCCTGACCCCCCACACAATATCGCGCAGCTTTGCTCTGCATACCAAAAACACAAGCAGCAAAAAACTCGGGTTAAACTGTCAGAGAGCCTTGTTAATGCCTCGCGGAAAGCGAAAATCCGTTTGCTTTCGTACCTTGCGGAAGGCATCGTAGTGGATCTTCTTGACGCAGCCCGAGCTGGAGCAGGTCTTGGTGAAGATGAGGTCGCAGTCCGTGCGGGTCAGGCTCTTTCCGGTCAGGCCGCTGTCACCCATGAGCTTGAAAAACTTGGCGCTGTCCATGTCTCCGCTCGCCTACCCTCGCGACAGTGAAAAGGAGGAGGGGGGGGGGGGGGTANGTACTCATATAAACGCATGCCGTGGTCGTTAGACCGTCGACCTCGCATCCCCTGCAGAGCCGGGATGGAGCACGCCGGGTTTTCACCTGGCCAGGCCCTCACATCACCAAGCGTGTGAAATGCTTATCGAGTCGCATGGAGGGTACGCTGCATCATCCTGCTCAGGGGCGTAGTTTATTCATGGAAATGTATGCCGTTGTCGTTAGAACCATTGACCTAGCATCCCTGCAACCCCGGGGCGAAGCGACATGCCGGTTTTACGCATGCCGTGGTCGGTAGACCATAGACCTTGCATCCCGGGACGGAGCTATACGTCGGGTTTTCGTCGGCCCAGGCTACGTTTCACAGGGGTAAACCAGAAAACTGGAGGATCATCAGGGGGGGTGGGTACTCATAGTCGTGCATGCCGTAGTGGTTAGACCATTGACCTTGTGTCCCTGCAAAGCAGGGACAGAGCACGCCGGGTTCTCCCGGACCAGGCTCTCACATCACCAAGCGCGAAGCGCCGTGATGTTATTCGGATCATCAGGGTTGGGGAGGTGTATTCAAGGTTTGGTGCTGAATTAGGTGCTATGTGACACTGCGATGTTTACGTGCCGCCTTGCTTACTGTCACGAGGAAACACAACAAAGTTGTCATCATCCCCGGGGGTGGTCTTTTGAACAATGATGAAATAGTGCGGAAACACGGAGGTGGTCGCCGTGCTTCATCGACACCACTCGCTCCGGAATCGGTAGCTACAACGCACCAAATATTGACAAGTTGCAGACTGTCGAGTGAAAACACCTCACCAGCACCATGCCGTCTTTGAGTTACCTCCACTCGCCTGCTCTCGGAGCAAAGACATAGACACGGACTCTGGGGGAACGAAAAAGGCTAGGCTTAACTACGAACGCCATGCCAAAGCCTATCTATTTCGCTTTCGTGGACTATATCCAGAACTACCTTTGCAACGCTGGAAGCGAAAGCCATGAACACATCTGCGACCCGCTGCTCCACGTCTTGCACGCTGCCGTCGGCGCCGATAGCGGCGGGACCGATCGGGCCGATGCTGGCTGATCCGCGCGGCGAGGCAGAAGACGAAGACTTGCGTGGGGTGGCAGCAGAGGACGAAGACTTGCGCGGGGCGGCGGCAGAGGAAGCGGTTGCCGCCGCCGCTCCCTTGCCTTGGGCGGATGACTTCCTTTGGGCCGGGCTTTTGCCACCGGAGGCACGCCGCGCCGCCTGTATTTCATAAAAAGGAACGACATTGGAAATTTTTCGGTTTGGCAAGATTGGCCTTTTTGGGGTGGGAAACCATGTGGTTGTTTACGGGGGGGTGTGCCCACAGCCGTGCATGCCGTAGTCGGTAGACCATTGACCTCTCGGGGGGCGGTATTCTTGACGGTGTGGGGTGTGTATGTTTTGTGTGATACATCACTTTTTTGAGGCAGAGACTCCGGGCCACGACGGAGAAGAGTTTCGTGTGCTAGGAGTGGTTTGGAGCAGCAGCGATGTCTTGCATGTTCGAACGAGGGAGAACCAATAGCTTACGCCGTCAGTCTGGTCTTCTCGACGAGTTTTGGTTGTTCATGGTTTTGGCTTCCTAGCTGCTGTTTGTCGTGCCGAATATTTGTACGAAGGTACGCCCTAGGCGTAGGGCACATCATGGTGGTCCAACCCACGGCTATAACATATAAAGTCCATCGTGACATCCTGTTGGTTTGCTTTTTCTAGGTCAGTTGTGGTACCCACAAGGCTATGTGCTCTACGGACGATACTTTGGGGTGATCGGGGGCCGCGCAACCTCTTACCTCCCCCTGGCTGGAGCGCTTAGGGACTGCAGAAGAGCCGCTGCTGCGGGAGTCGTTCTGGTACTCCTTGACCCCCCTCACGTCGGCGCCTTCCGAGCGGTCGAGCTGGTTCGCCATGTCGACATTGTGGCCGTCGATGTTGGTAGGCCCGCCTGTGCCGCAGCGGTCGGCGTTGGTTGCAGAGAGAATGAAGTCAGCGTGGGTGTCAAAAGAAAAAAAAAAAGCGAAAAAAGATTTCAGCGAAAAGAGCGATTTCGGCTCCGATGCGCAATAGCACCTCCGCCGCCCGCGCTCTACGAGCAGTTCAGTCGGCTTGTCTACAGAATAACGTGCCGATGTTTGTGGCGATCGGGTTGGGTCTGCACCGTGGCGGTCGATGACGCCGAACAAGCCGAACGGTCCAATAATTCAGTCGGCGACACAATCACAAGGGGAGAAAACACAGCCACCACGATAGATATTGCAAGGTGATACCGGCGCCAATTGGCGGCTGTACCACTGCATAACACATTCCCGCAACAGCCTTGGTAGACCACTCCCGCTATGTACACAAGCGGAGACACACACACACGAAATAATATGTAGAGGTCGTATTGGCATTCGCATTTAGCTCATTGCGCAATTTTCGAATTTCGGCCACCTTCCAGGGACCTTGATTTTTGCCGCTGGCACTGATGTCTTTTCACTGGTCAGCCGATTAGCGCGGTCGATGCTCATAATAATAAAAAAAAAAACACACACACACGCACACACACCACCTTCTGCGCCGAGTGCGGGAGACGAAAACACCACCTCACCGTTGATGTGCACTCCGGTGAAGGTGGACTTGTCGTCATGAAACCGCACGTTGTCGGCAACGGTGGCCGCGCCGGTCCTGCCCAGAGAATACGTGAAAGCGGAAAAGACACGAGAGGGAAGATAGGTGATCACGCGCTGTTCCGTGTTATTGTTGAAGCGGACAAGCACACTTGTTTCAAAAACCACTAGCGGTGTCGTTGCCAATTCGAAGGTTTTCCATGGAAGCTAGCTGGTGGGTTGAAGGAACGCAACACGCAACTTACGAGTAACGAATCCACAATGATTGTTTTCAGCCGTCAAGGGGGGGGCGGAGGCGAGACAGCCTCTGGAAAGCATCTGGTCGGCGTAAAAGGCACTCAAAACCAATAGACCACGCCGATACCAGTGCATTTTTCACTTGACCCCGTAACCTTTGCCCCAATTACGCAATGATTTCTAGGTGTGGCTGAGGTACATCAGGACACCGTGATGACGACCTACCGCGCTAGCCAGACACGGCGCAACTCTTCCAGGGTCGTTGGAAAAGGGTTGAAGCCAACCAGAGCACGGCCGTAGGAGACGACGCGGGCCGCTGGACCCCCCCACCACGCGCAAGGGTCTTGGCGTTCTTATGATGAACGATCTTATTGCGATTGGGTTTCCGATTCGTTCGAGCCTCTCTATCGACCCGTTTTCCCTCGCTTGCCTCACCAATGCCTTTCTGCTCGAAAAACTAAATAAGCTGCACCTCCGGGGGAGGAATATACTTGCGCTTGCGTTGTGACACCACAGCATCGAAGAAAGATCCCTCTTCTGCGTTTCGCCGGGCGCTATCGCCCTCTTCCTTTGTCTATCTGTCTATCTGTCTGTCTGTCTGTCTGTCTGTCTCCCATCCTCCCCCCCCCCCCCCCCCCCCCCCCCCCCCCCCCCCCCCCCCCCCCCCCCCCCC